CACACACACACACACACACACACACACACACACACACACAAAAGCTTAATGAACAGAATGAGCACAACAATATGTCCAATAAAGTTTCTGAGAAGATGCACAAGGAACTACTCACACCGGGGCATGACTTTAGCATGTGTTCTGGTCCTCAAACATGTATTCCCCATTGGATTTGTAAACACAGAAATAAATATATAAATAAACATATTGAGTATTTAAATAGGAGTTAATTATATTTACTTAGGCAAAGTAAGAATATATGAGAATCTTACTCTCTTTCAAGATTTGACTACAAGTTTATGGCAAATATGGACAATATAACATGTTCAATGAAGCACGAGGCACACACAGATAGAAAAGTACAAACACTACCTGTCATGTAAAGGTACAAGATCCCAGTAATGAATGTAACTGTACTGCATACCTAGAATGTACAAATAAACTCAATAAAAAGAAAAAAAAAAGAAAAATGCAAACACTGAAACACTACGCAGGATAATTCATGTTTTTAAAAAACATTAAATGACTAAAAACAAAAAATTCTGGAAGATTTAGTCATTTAAAGGCATATTATTTTAAGACACCTCACTCAAAGAAAATGAAGATGGAAATAATTGGGATACCAAATATTAAGAAATAAGTAATACTAATAAGGAGATGCAAAAACTGAATTATATAAATTAAATCATTTTTTGACATTAATGAATATATAAGATATAAAAGAGATTTGGAGTATATTTTTGAAACCCTATCATTACACTTCTACTGAATTATCTACTGAAAAATCATGATTTCTGAAAATTACTTTCAAATAATTCAGGGTTAGTAAGTGCATAGGATGTACGAATAAGAGAAACTGGGCTGGGGATTTAGCTCAGTGGTTCTGGCGCCTGCCTTGCAAGTGCAATGACCTGAGTTCAATCCCGGTACCAAAAAAAAAAAAGAATAAAAGAAACGGCTGGCCATGAAAGCTTCATTGTTAATCCTGGCAGACAGTTCTATATGAGGCCAATTACCCATCTATGTGTTTGGAATTTAACATAAAGACAAAATAAGTCCTATTTACCATTTGCAACGCTGAAAGAAAATGGTAATCTTTCTGTTAGCACAAGATGATATTTGATCTTCAATATTCCTACAGGCCGGGAAGAGAACAACACTCCACACAATTTATCTCTGTAAGACACGTAGAAGGTTTGTTGAAGACCATGACTAACCCTTAGCTACAGTCAATTAAGATTTGTCTTACTGTACAAAAATCAAGTCAAAACTAGAGGCATGAGAATTTTCCCTGAATAAAGAAAATCAAAAATGCAATCTCAGTATTTCATAACTTTGCTAGCAATGTAGGTGTGATCTTACTATTTGTCATAGCACACCCACATGATTTGGAAGCTCACCTTCCAGGAGCCAGCCCAGCCCATCGCTAACATATATAAGCTGTTGCCCGAGCACTTCCCTTTCATCTGCTTCTCTCAGCTCTGCCCTCAGCCTCTCACGCCTTGCCCAGCATTCTCAACCCCAGGAAACATGTCTAGCAAAAACACTGTGAGGTGCCAAAGCAGCAGCCGCCGTGGCTTCACTGCCAACTCAGCCAGAGTCCCCGGGCTCAGCCGCTCTGGCTTCAGCAGTGTCTCTGTGTGCCGCTCCAGGGGCAGCGGTGGCATTGGGGCGGTGTGTGGAGGAGCTGGCTTTGGCAGCAGGAGCCTCTATGGCCTGGGGGGCTCCAAGAGGATCTCCATCGGAGGGGGCAGCTGTGCCGCTGGTGGAGTCTATGGCAGCAGAGTTGGAGGTGGAGTCGGCAGTGGACTCGGTTATGGTGGTGGACTTGGTGGTGGTTTTGGGCTCGGTGGTGGAGCTGGCTTTGGTGGTGGCTATGGGGGCGCTGGCTTCCCCGTGTGCCCCCCTGGAGGCATCCAAGAGGTCACCATCAACCAGAGTCTCCTCACTCCTCTGAACTTGGAGATCGACCCCACCATCTACCGATTGAGGACTGAGGAGCGGGAGCAGATCAAGACCCTCAACAACAAGTTCGCCTCCTTCATCGACAAGGTGAGCCATGAGGCCTGGCCCTCCACGGGGCGTTTCAGGGCACCCAGAGAGAGACACAGCAAACCTCCACCGCGGGAGTCTAGGTCAGAGGGATGGGGCATCACGCTGCCTCTCCCAGGGCTCCAGACGGCCCCATGGTGACAAGAGCAGAAGAGATGCAAACCATTTGCAGCTGCTGAGCCCCGCCAGACCCCAGATGAGGCAGTGTGAGCAGGGGAAGGGCTAGGCCTCCCTTCTTGAGGATCTAAGAGATATAATACATGCCAGTGGTGTTTGGGCCACTGATTGCACTCTGGGGTCTGGATGAGAAGAAGAGGCCAAACAAAAAATGGAAAGAAAAAGGTTTTCTGGCTAGACTAAGGGAAAAATTAGAGCAAGTCACACAATATGTAAAAATGTTAATTTATCCCAGAAATAGAGAGTGATGAGAAAACGGGAATGCTTTCTAGGAGATGTGTGCATTAAACGAGAGGTGACATGCTAGTCCAGTCATTAGGCAACGCTGACATCCCTACAACTGAGATGTATCCCTAGTGGAAACTTGTACAATGTATCAAAAAATACTGCTTTAAAGTAGAATTGTGATTCTGCTTGGAAAGAGCAGAAGAAATGTTCAAAACCACTGATCAGGATCATAAATTAGGCGGCGAGAAGTCCTTAGTGGTCCACAATGAGATTCTCCTGGTAGATCTGTGTGGTGCAAAAGAGAAACTGCAGAGGAACAAGCTCTCGATCTGAGGCTCTGTGTATGCTCAGAACCATGCACCCGGGAGAAGCCCAGACCGCAGGGAGAGTACCAACACATCACTTCTCGCTTTCTGCCTTCATCCAACCAATAACCATCTTGGGCCCCCTCCAGGTGCGGTTCCTGGAGCAACAGAACAAGGTCTTGGACACCAAGTGGGCCCTGCTCCAGGAGCAGGGCACCAAGACAGTCAGGCAGAACCTGGAGCCTTTGTTTGAGCAGTACATCAGCAACCTCAGGAGGCAGCTGGACTCCATCCAGGGAGAGAGAGGCCGCCTGGACTCAGAGCTGAGGAACATGCAGGACACTGTGGAAGACTATAAGAGCAAGTGAGTGAAGAAAGAGGGGTGGGCTGAGCTTCTCTAGCTGGCATCTGAGAGACGGGATGACAAGTCTAGATGTGCACACAATTCTGTAGGAAAATGTCCTAGCGATGGCAATCGTGAACCATCGCCAAACGGCAAAAGATGTAAGACAAGAGAGTCATGGGAGGTTGGGGCAGAGAAACAAGAAAAAATGCAGTAAAATGAAAAACCACTGTTAGTCTGTCGGTGGCAGGATCTGGATATATTCCATTTATGGAAACATGGGATGAGCGACGGCCTTTGGTTTTCATCCACACACTGGCTCCAATGTGTTCTACCCTTTTCTTGTAGATACGAAGATGAAATCAACAAGCGCACAGCAGCAGAGAATGAATTTGTGACCTTGAAAAAGGTGAGCTGACTAAGTTGGGATTCAGGTTCTCTGCTAAACCAGAGGTATAGCTCTGTGTCCCACTCCCATCCTAAAGGACGGGGGCCGGGAAGATAGAGGTGGATGGCCTGAGCGGGAGGGCTCGGCTCACTCTACTTTGTTGCCTCTGTCCCAGGATGTGGATGCTGCTTACATGAATAAGACTGAACTGCAAGCCAAGGTAGACAGTCTTGTCGATGAGATCAACTTCCTGAGAGCCTTCTATGATGCAGTGAGTTTCCTCACCCCCTTGCCCTTCACTTTGACGGGATCGGCCAGGGCAGGAAGGCCTGGGAGTTGGGACCTCTGCCAGTGTCATGCCCAAAGAAGACCCGAGCACCTTGTGTTCTGCAGGAACTGTCTCAGATGCAAACCCACATCTCAGACACCTCTGTGGTCCTGTCCATGGACAACAACCGCAGCCTGGACCTGGACAGCATCATCGCTGAAGTCAAAGCCCAGTATGAGGACATTGCTCAGCGCAGCCGGGCTGAGGCTGAGTCCTGGTACCAGACCAAGGTGAGCAGTGAGGTGGCAGCTGCTGAGGTATCCACAGGCCCAAGCTCCACATCCCACCTCCTGATACCAAAAGGCTCTGATCCGCTGGCACAGTGGACCAACTGGAAGACGGCAGGTGCACTACCCAAGATTAGAGAATTGTACAACTTGCACCAAATCTAGAAAGCAAGGAACTCAGAGAGAAAAGAAATGATACCATATAAAGATGTAATCATTCGGCTAATGCTGTATGTACCGTGACTGTTCCTTCTCAGAATACCCTACAGAACATTGTCAGATCCCAAGAGAATTGTACAGTATGCGGTCTCCTAACCAACATGGTGTTTGGCTGGTGTTTACAATGTCCAATAACCATGTAACATCCACTTTCCCAAGAATCTCAAGGTTATTACACTCCTGCTTCAGAAGTGAGAGCCCCCCTGTGTATATGAAACCCACATAGAATTTCTGTCTCTTCGACTGACCTACAGTATGAGGAGCTGCAGGTCACAGCAGGCAGACATGGGGACGACCTGCGGAACACCAAGCAGGAGATCGCTGAGATCAACCGCATGATCCAGAGGCTGAGATCTGAGATCGACCACGTCAAAAAGCAGGTATATGGCACAGGCACTGTTAAAGCTTGTTTCTTTCAACTGTAGGCTCCTCTGTGAGCACAAAGTCCCAGGGCCACCCCCCTGGGAAGTAGCAGACCCTAAGTCCATTGTGCTTGCTTCCCCTTCAGTGCACCAACCTGCAGGCCGCCATCGCTGATGCTGAGCAGCGTGGGGAGCTGGCCCTCAAGGATGCCAGGAACAAGCTGGAAGGTCTGGAGGATGCCCTGCAGAAGGCTAAGCAGGACATGGCCAGGCTGCTGAAGGAGTACCAGGAGCTCATGAATGTCAAGCTGGCCCTGGATGTGGAGATCGCCACCTACAGGAAGCTTCTGGAAGGCGAGGAGTGCAGGTGGGCTCCCCACACCCCCCACTTCAATCCTCTGCTATCTCCAAGATGCCCTCCCCTGCGCCCATGATTAAAACAGTACCCAGAACTGTAATTGTTCTTTAATAAAGAGAGAAAGAAAGAAAAGTGGGAGAGGAAGGATGGAAAAAAGGAAGGAAGGAAGGAAGGAAGGAAGGAAGGAAGGAAGGAAGGAAGGAAGGCAGGCCTAAAGAACAGCTCCCCATGAACTCTCCCCAGATGGAGGCTTCCCCAGGGCTCCAGGTAGCAACTTTCTAGGCCTCACCTCCCCGTGTTCCTCTCCCCCTAGGCTGAATGGCGAAGGTGTTGGACAAGTGAACATCTGTAAGTACCTGGCTTCCCTGCCTCCCCTACCTCAGCCCAGCCCTGGCTCAGTCCGGTAGAATGTGCTCACCATGTCCTGTGTCCTTGTCCCCTCTCCACAGCTGTGGTGCAGTCCACCGTCTCCAGCGGCTATGGCGGTGTCGGTGGCATGGGCAGCGCCGGAGGCCTGGGCGCAGGCAGCGGCTACTCCTACAGCTCTGGTCACAGCCTTGGAGGTGGCTTCAGCTCTGGCAGTGGCAGAGGCATCAGCATTGGGGGCGGCCTCAGCTCTGTCGGGGGCAGCACGTCCTCCATCAAGTACACCACCTCCTCCTCCAGCAGGAAGAGCTACAAGCACTGAAGTCCTCTCCGCTCCTGGCCGGGGGCTCAGTCCCTCTGCCTACAGGGCTCTCTCCTCGGGCCCTTGTCCTCCCCGCCATCTGCTCTGTCCTTAGAGCTGAGCACGGGCGGGTCCCCCTGTTTACTCTCTGTTCCCCTTCCTCCCTAGCTGCTGGCCTTCAGAATCTCAACCTGTGATTCCCCGTCACGATTTACTCACATCTGGTTCCTCACTGTGCTGCTCAGTTATCAGGTTCTTACCTGCATTGTCGGTATCTATCTCTGAGTTGGAACACTGCAGCAGAATTCTCTTCCGCTCTGTACTGGCAGAAGGCCCTCCCCGGGCCCTACTTAAGAACAGCGCCGCGTCCCCTGATCTCAGTCTCACGTGTTGTGAGACTCTCTTGTACTAACTGTGCTAGCGCAATGACTGGTGCTTTGATGTACAGCAAGTGTATCCCTGTGACGTCTCCACTGCTCTTTGCTTTCCTAGAACTTCTCAATAAAGCAGATTTATATGATAACGCCTCGCTCACTGTTGCCTTACTTCATCCCAGCAGTTCTTCACTTCTTCATGTGGTAAATAATTTTTATCTCCTTTAATCCGTGAAGAAGAGTTTGCGACCTTCGTGTTCGGCTTCCCTTCTCAGAGCAGATTCCATTTCAAGTTTTGGCAAGTGTGGAGGAATTGAGGCCACCATCATTGTCCTCTCTGTTTCAAGTGTCTGTGCCAGGACTTGGCATCTGGACCCTCTAGCCTGATCTCTAAGCACCCATCTCCCTGTGCCAGTGCTAAGCCTAAATGCCCAGCTGGAGAAATATCCCTGGCCAATTAAAGCAGAGCAATAAGCTGAAGGCTCTTTGACAGAGGAATAAGATACCTGAATTATAACTACCAGTGCCTTCATTAGCACTAGTCTTGCCTGATGGAGGCTATCAAGTGCAACGACAGTGTGCAGACTTCTGAGCTCCAATTATAGTTCTAGAAATGTGCCCTGAGGAACTGGTGCAAGTGCAAAAAGCTGAATGTGTGTGGATGTGCATCATAACAATCTTCAGAGACAGGAAGACTGCAGCCCTCCAGCTGGTCAAACTAAGAACCACAATTCTGGAGTCCAAATTCAAATTCTATTTCCATGCTGTGACAAGGTTCTTGAGCAAGCATATTCCCTCCTTCTTATACTCTTTGTTCTCATTGAGACTGGAGGAAGCTGAGTTCATGTCTTTGATTAAGGTGGTCTCATTTCCCTCTCCAGTGTAAACCAGTGGAATTAACTTCAGAAGGTAAAATTAATTTAAGTTCCAGCTTTTTCAGGTGTCTTGTCATCTTCTAGTACTATGCCAATCCCCACTGACCCATGGGTAAAAAGTTATCTTCTTAACCCTCAGGTTCTTATGTCATTGGAGATATTTTTTGGATTCTATTGGTGTTTCTGGAACCATCTGTGTCATCTTCTACTGGGCTCACCTCTCATTACTCCCCCTACAAAATGGGTGGCTTTTCAGATTCTCACCTTCTCACTTTCTATGCAGAAGTCCCCTAACAGAAAGGTGAAGATTTGCTTCCAAAATCTAAGCCCACTTATCATACATATATGAACCAATGAGAAATAATTTTAAAGAAAGTACCTAGTATATACCATAACAGAAACAGGAACTATTTTATATAGGTTTAAATAAAATTAGAATCTTTTACTTAAAAGTACAGTGAAAGGATACCACAATAACTACATGTAAATACTGATAACTCACATTAAGTTAGCCAAATCGTGCAAAATACTAAAGAATATATAAACAGCATTCGTTATTCACCCCACTTCCTGAATAAATTGATTCATTAATAAAGAAACTTCCAAAAATTAAAGGACTAGGCTACATGATTACTCACTGATTTACCTGACATTTAAACCGAAATGACAGCATACATTTACAAAGTTCTGCAGGAAGTTGTATATGGAGCATTTTCTGGTTCACCCTGTGCAGGCTAGTAATACTCTGATACTAAAACTAGATAATGATAGCTTCAAGGAAGAAAAAGTACAGACCAACACCTCTTACAAATACAGACACCGAAATGTTCGGTGAAATAGTACCAAATTAATTCCTACTAAGCATGCAACAAATTATACACCATGACCAAATGGGATTTATTCTAAATGCACAAGGCTAATTAACATTGCAAAGCAGTCTGTGCAATCACCTCATCAAAGGGTTAAAGGAGGAAAATCAGTTGATTATACAGTTGGCATAAATAAGTGTCTGACTTATGCAGTACCTATAGCTGCTCAACAAAGGTCTCAGCAAATGGGGAATAGACAGCACCCTCAACTTGGTAGAGAGAATCTAAAGAAATCCTACATCTAAATCACACTTAACTGTTGAAGTCTGGACTCTTCCCCTAAAGTTGAGAATGGAAGCCTGACTTCTCTTTCCATTGTTACATTGCACTGCAAATCCAGCTAGAGCAATGAAATTAGAAAAAACAATAACACACACATATAGCAAGAATTAAGAAATAAAGCTTCCTTTCTTCTCATATGACAGTATAGTCAATGTGGAAAATCCAAAATAATCTATAAAAATTTTCCTAGAATTACTAAGTATAATAAAGTTGTGGGACACAAGGTAGTCAGTTTATAAAGAAAGGAAAGATCAATGCCATGCAGAATATCACCAAAAGATGAAGTACTTAAGCACAAATCCCACAAAATAAATAGAAAACCTGTACCTGAAAAACTGTGACATACTGAAGAAAAAAATCCAAAAGATAAAAGATATTCCATATTCATGGGTTGAAATACTCAATATTATCTTTTTTCATTAAGTTTATTGGTACATTTTAGCTGTACAATATGATGACATTCATCATTAGGAATTTGAACCTGTATATAATATATCTTGATTCTTAATTTTTCCCCATTCCTCTGCCCTCCCTTCAACACTTCCGCCCCGCCCTATTTACAAAGACTTTGTTTTCATTTTTTCTCATATTTATTCCTTTCCCTTCTTTCCTTTTCCCTACTCCTCCTACCTCCTCCTCCCCTTTAGACCTTTTCTTCCTGTTTCACATAACCTGTTATACATTTTGATTCTCATTTACATTTGCAGTTTCTCACACCAGAGAAACTATTAGGTATTTACATATGTGTGTCCTATTTATTTCACTTAAGAGTATGGCCTCAATGTTCACCCAGTTAGCTATAAATGTCTCTTTCTTTATGACTGAGTAGTACTCCATTTTAGAGAAAAAACACACTTTTTTTTGGTACTGGGGCTCAAACTCAGGACCTTGTGTTTGTGAAGAAGGCAGTGGAACCAGAGCTAAATTCCTGGTCCAAAACACATCTTCTTTATCCAGTCTCCAGTTAATGAGCAATTGGCTTGTTTCCAAGTATTAGGTATTACAAATTGTGCCACTATAAACATGGGTGCACATATATATATCACTTTTAATTCTTTTGGGAAGATACCCAGCAGGGGAATAGCTGGGTCAAATGGGACCTCTAATCCTAGTTCTTTGAGGTATCTCCATATTGACTTCCACAGTGGTTGTACCAGTCTGCACTCCCACCAACAATGGAGAAGGGTTCCTTTCTCCCCACTGCCCCGCCAACATTTGTTATCAGTTGATTTCTTGATAGCGGCCATCTTTGTGGGGTGAGGTGGAATCTCAGTTTTGTTTTTAACTGCATCTCTCAAATGACCAGTGATGTTGAACATTTTTTCATATGTTCATTTGAGAAAATAAAACATAAAATACAGTGGACCCTCAAGTTACAACTGGCCTGAAATAGGAACAACCTGGGTTAATTAGGTTAATGGAAGATTCATCTGCTTCTTGTTATTTATAGCATGTATCCAGGTCTCAGCTGTGTTGACTTACAACCAACTTGAGTTACAACCAGCCCTAGGGAACCGATCAAATTCATAAGTCAAGAGTCCACTGTATTAGCACACAGAGCTCAGAAAAGGAAGAAAAAAAAATAAAACATACTAGAAATGAAGGCTGAATTGGAAATAGCACAAAAGGAAAAGATCTCTAAGGCCAATAATGGTCAAAACTAGTGGCAGGAGAATTTTCCTTGATTAAAGGAAGCAAAAAATGTAATCCTGATATATCATAATTGCTAATAATGTAGGTGCGATCTCACTATTTGTAAAGCTCAACCCTCACAATCAGCAAGCTCACCTTTCAGAAGCTGGTCCAGCCCATCTGTACCATGTGTAACCTTCTCTTTCACTTGCTCCACTCAGCTCTGCCCTCAGCCTTTCATGCCTTGCCCAGCCTTTCAGCCCCATGAAACAGGTCTAGCAAAACCATCGTGAGGAGCCAAAGCAGCAGCCACTGTGGCTTCAGCCAGAGTCCCTGGGCTCAGCAGCTCTGGCTTCAGCAGTGTCTCTGTGTGACGCTCCAGGGGCTTTGGTTTTGGAGATGGAACCTGCAGTGGATTCGGTTATGGTGGTGGACTTGGTGGTGGTTTTGGGCTCGGTGGTGGAGCTGGCTTTGGTGATGGCTATGGGAGCGCTGGCTTCCCTGTGTGCCCCCCTGGAACCATCCAAGAGGTTACCATCAACCAGAGTCTCCTCACTCCTCTGAACTTGGAGATCGACCCCACCATCCAGCGAGTGAGGACTGAGGAGCGGGAGCAGATCAAGACCCTCAAAAAGTTCGCCTCCTTCATCGACAAGGAGAGATATAATCCTTTTAAAAATCTACTGGGAGTCTAGAGTAGATGTCAAAGACAGAGGAAAGAGGGAAAGCTTTTCAGGCTTCGTCCTAAAATCTTCATGTGGTCGCCATTTCCTTTTTTTTTTCTCATTGAGTTTATTGGTACTTTTGAAATATACAGTACAGTTACATTTATTATTGGGATCTTGTACCTTTACACGACAGATCTTGGTTCTCATTTTTCCCCATACCCCTGCCCTCTCTTCTGCCCCCTCCCACTCCCCTATATACAAAGACTTTGTTTCCATTTTTTCATTTTCTCATATTTTTTCTTTTCCCTTATTTCCTTTCCTCTACCCTTCCCACTTCCTCCATTCATTTTTGCCTCTTGGATTTGGAATCCTCTTTCTTTCTTTCTAAGTAGATCAGAAGTGGAGACTTAGTTCTTCTCATTAAGAGCCCTCTCTGCAAGGACTCCTTGGTTTTGGGCAGAAAGTGATGAGCTCTGTGTCTCATGTAACTGGGGCCCTGCGCAGGAAGTCAGATGTGTTAATGGGGGTAAGGGGAGTGGCCTGAGAGCCCACACAGCTTTTCCCAGTGCTTGCTATGCCCGAAAATGAGAGCCCTGTCTCCCCTAGAAGAGCAAGGTTCAGTGCCTTACTCTGGTCCTCCCCTGTGCACTCATAAATGTATTGCACTTGGGAAAGTTTTAATGACAC